CAGTCTGATGACTGTTTCCCAGGTTTTGAGACACTTGTTTTTATGTTCCAAATGATCATCACTGTTCTCGATTGGTATGGGCATGGTACCTGGCCAGGTCGATTTCTACCTCCTCCACCAGGACATACCAGCCCTGGAGGGTCCTCGGAACCAGTTTGGGGCCCAGTTTGCCAGCTTGCTGACCAAGCTTCGGAACTCTTGATTGTAGGCTAAGATGGGCTGCTTTCCATGCTTGAAGGTTTTGATCCTAGTTTAGACCTTCTAGTTGGCAAGTAGTTCTTTGAACCGCTTCCTCAAGGCAGCCATAAATCTGTCAAATTGGCACAATTTCATGGAGGGCCATGAAGTAGTGATAGGGTGAAGCAGGATGGCAGCACTGACAACTGTTAAGAAATGCTGTGGTTCAACTGGCACAAAAGCCTTCTGAACAATAAGTGCTGCAGAGATATTAACAACAAAGATGTATGACTTTGGGGAATGAGATTGTTTAGAAAGAGCCCAATTATAATTTTAAGAAAATGTTTCATTATTAAGAATCAATTGAAGACATTTGATCCTGGGCAGATTAGAGATAATGACTTCAGTGGTTTATGGTTGATTCGAAACTGTTATGGACTTGAGGTTTCCAGTTTTGTGCAGTAGCTCAGCAGCTACTGTGACTTTAAAGCTGTCTGCAGAGAAAGGAAAATCCTGATTTTTGGCTATCATGGAAAACGAAGAGATCTGCAGAAAGAATATACCAAGAAAAAACAAATACTTTCCAGGAGGAGATATATGCTATGTTGCAACTAATTCAAACAACAATAATCTCAAATCATGAGGAAATTAAAAATAACTTTGAATATATAAATGCATCTCTAATTTAACTTTACAACAAAAAAAACTCTCAGAAAATAAAAATAGAGAGTGAGCAGATAAAACAGACAACTGATGAACCAGAGAAGAGAGATTTAAAGATGGAACCTAAAACAGAAGGAAGTATGACTCAACCCAGGTGGAAAAAAACTTGCAGGAAATAATGGACATGGAAAAAGTAACTTATACTTTAAAATCACAAAATAAGTCTGAGAACAAGAAAAAAGATTTGACAAAATGGATTACAGAGCTACCAGGAGAACTACGAGAACTTAAGAGACAAAAAATGATAAGAAAAATTAACAGAGAAAGAAAAGAAAAAAATTTCAATGAATATGAAGAGGCGAAACCTTTATATAAAATATCTCTCCTGATTTGTCTTTTGTACCTATAACAACATCCACAAGACTATGGGAAAGACTCTTTGATTCAGAGAAACATATTGGTCAGGAAAGATATCTGGCAAAATAAAAAGACTAAAGTGAGAATCAAGCAATTAGATGATGGGACCTATCAGAGGGAATATTTGAAAATTATACATCTGTTTGAATATGGTTAAAGAAATAGAAAGATTTTGGATATAAATGAATTTTAGTTTAAGAGGGATGAGCCCCTCAAGTAATATAGTGCTTTTCTTTTCGTTTTCCCTTTGTGTTTTGTTTTTTGACATGAGAAATATAAAAATGTTGGAGTGGTTTATATAAAAGAAATGTTTTAGATACTTAAGTGAAATGGATCTTGAGAAAACTTCAAATGGATTAAAATGCTTTGATTAAATCTAAAATATTAGATAATTGGATTTATTTACTGTAAATAGAATTTAAAGATTATGTATTGAATATGGTTAAAAAAAAGAGAAAAATTCTGGATATAAATATACATTAGTCTAAGAAGGATATGTATTTTAAGTAGTATACTATCTTCTTATTTCTTTTTCTTTTCTTTTTTTAAGATATGAGAAATGTAAAAGTATGAGGAAAAAGACCTAAATACTTAAGTGTAATGAAAATCTTAACCAGTAAGAATATTTTGAATATTGTGGGGAAAACAAATTTAAATAAGAATTTTAAACAGGATCTATGATAAGGCAATCAAGATGATCAGTTAGAAAAGAAGTTTTATATCAATGTGGTTATTATTTGCAGAAATATTAGAAAAATGTCTATATTTAATTGTTATTTATCCAAATAGTGAGAATTGTATTAATTCAAGGATGGCAAAAGAGAACATTTTTGGAAGAAGAGAACATCAAGTAAAGCTATTATGTGGACTATAGAATTATAGAAACTAACTGTTATTGTTTTTTAAATATAAACCCAGACAACACGATGTTTACCAAATATTAAGGTGATTATGTAAAAAAAAAGTTTTTTTTAAAGAAGCTGTTATGGACTTTCTGCGTGTGAAATACAATAATAGATTGTTAACAAAGGACTTTGACGTTTAGTTTTGTTGTTGGGTTTAACTATTAACTGTTTTTTTTACAGTAGGTAGATAGATCAAAATTAGTTGGGCAAATGGATATTTATCAGCATTCAGTTTGCAGGGACAATTTATGTGTATGTTTTTAAGAACATTTTTGTCTTTAGTTTTGTTCATGTTTCCCTTTTTTCTGTTGAAATTTGTATTTTACCTTTGGAAATAAAGTAAAAAAATTAAAAAACAAGGCATAACAATTCAATAAATATAAAAGGTAAGAGAAATAAGATCCAAACAAAATATGTGGTACCAGGCCCCCAAAGTCTTCTGGGAAAGCTCTATTTTTAGCTTTTATAAGGCAGACAATGTTAGAGACAAGTGAATCTGCAATAGGAGGTAATTCCAGAGGATAGGGCACATCACTGAAAAACAGTACTTCCAGATTTTAGCTCCCTCCACCTCCTCAAAATGGTGGACAATAAGCCATTTTAAAAAAAAATTTATAAATTTTTATTAATAATACAAAATTAAAAACACATTGGACATAGATATGACATCACTGGTTCCATACATCTTCCATACAGTTTTGGTCACCACGATGTAAAAAAGATGTTGAGACTCTAGAAAGAGTACAGTAAAGAGCAACAAAGATGATTAGGGGACTGGAGGCTAAAACATATAAGGAACGGTTGCTGGAACTGGGTATGTCTAGTTTAACGAAGAGAAGGACGAGGGGGGACATAATAGCAGTGTTCCAATATCTCAGGGGCTGCCACAAAGAAGAGGGAGTCAAGCTATTTTTCAAAGCGCCTGGAGGCAGGACAAGAAGCAACGGGTGGAAACTAACCAAAGAGAGAAGCAACCTAGAACTGAGGAGAAACTTCCTGACAGTTAGAACAATTAACCAGTGGAACAACCTGCCTCCAGAAGCGGTTAATGCTCCAACACTGGAAGTTTTTAAGAAGAAACTGGACAGCCATTTGTCCGAAATGGTATAGGGTTTCCTGCCTGAGAGGGGGTTGGACTAGATGACCTCCAAGATCCCTTCCAACTTTATCATCATCATCATCATCATCATCATCATCATTATTATTATTATATTTCTCATCAGGATATGAAATTTATGCTAAGAGTTTTAAAGTCCAATGGATTTGCAAGACAAATCAGCTTATTAAAAATGTTAAGTGTTATTTATCAAGACCCTTGTTCACTCTGACAGTTGTTTAGATAAGACAAAAATAAAAATCTTTAATGAGTCAAACATAAGAAAGTATGAGTTTTCCCAGAACTCTTTCAGTGCAGAATGGCTAACCCATTCCACAGGGTTGTTATTGGAAGAAGGAGAATTAGGTAGGTTTGTAGACTAGAGTTATAAAAATAATAAAGGTGGGATTAAAAAAAAAAACATAAAGATAAGAATAAAAGAAAGGGGAAGATAGTGATGCCTGATAGAGTTGGTAAAATCCTCAAATCCTCAAAAAGTTAGATGTGAGACATTTAAAGAATATATTAGGCAGTTTATGAACATGGTGGAAGCAAAAGATGTTTTGCAAAGAAAGAAAAGTATAGAGAAATATAATAAAAGGTATCACTATAAACTAGATTTGCTACATTTTTTTTAAAAAAATATAGTTTTTACTAAGAATTTTGATTACAACAGAAATACCAACTAAGAAAAACAGAATAGAAAAAATAATAAAAAGTACAGAAAAAGGAGGAAAAACAAAAAGAAAAAATATAATAAAGAAAAAGAAAAATATATAAAGAAGTTACAGTTTTCATCATAACAACTATAAACAAATTAAGCAGCTCTTCACCCTCTAAATTGGTTATAGACCAATATTTATTCATCCCATAATCCATCCCTTATCTATTAAACATTAATTTTTCTGTTCTGGTGTCAGTATAAAGAGTTGACAGAACTATGTAAAAAAAAAATTTATTTTGATATTGGTCATGATTTTAACCCTAATCAAATAAACCAATTTTATATTCCTTCTTTTTACTTCTGTCTTACTCTTTAAGTCAATAAACTATTATTTGATTTCTCTTAAATTCTTCTTTATTCCACTGTAGATTTCAAGACTTTAACAAGCCTCTTTTGTAGATTAAATAAGCAAACATTTTCCAGTCATTCTCTTGGTTTGTTATTTGTATTTCCCCTTTAAGTTCTTTTGTATATCTAGTAAAGCATCCTTTTCTAATTTATTATTTTGGCCTGTAATTTGTAGTTCTGTTTTCAGTACTTTCTCCGTCTTGTCAAAGTAAAATTGTTCTTCATCTGCCATTCTTTTGTCACATCTTTTAGACATAGTCTATCCATAGAAGATTGTCATCCATCATCGAGAGTATTGATGTTGTAGTAAATCCTAGTATTAATCATCATTTTCTCCTTTTGCTTGAAATTTTAGTCCCCTAAATCTCTAGCATTCAGTCATCACAAAATAACTTATCTTTCTTAAGACTTACAATAGTCAAAGTAAGTCTGTTTCCCACGATAAACTATTTTTATAGTTAATTCCAAAATCGTATAGTAAATCAATATTCTAAATTTATCTGGGCTTTTATTCCAGGTAAAACGTTGTTAGATCAATTCTCATTTAATTTTCTGCTATTTATTTCAAATCCTGAAGATCCTAATTAATTTTTCTTTTGATAAGAATTGAAGATAAACTCACCTGAAGACTTTTCAAATTTGTTATTCTAAATGTTTTTAATAGCTTTACCTCTCAAGATGTAATTCTGGTAGTTCTGGTCTGCCTCAGCTCCCACTTTTATTAAACAAGTCAGGCCTTCTGCTACAACAAATTCATGAACCAAATCTTTGTCATCCTATGAAGGACAAGACAGGGGAAAAAAGACAAATGATACATTATTTAACATACTGCAAATAAAATAGCGGTGGTTTTAACCATTCAGTTGTGTCTGACTCTTGATGACTTTATAGGCAAGTACTTTTTACACTACCCTGTCAAGCACAGCTTTTTCAGTTGTTTATATCAGCTTTGATGGTATCAAGCCAGCATGTTCTTTGCTTGTTCCTTTTTCTTGTTTCACTAAGCACATACAGCAGCCCCCCTTTAGCAATTGTTTGTGGCTATGGCAGTGATGAAAAAGCAATTTTACAACCAATACTTGTAATTATAACTTTCTCAGGTCTGTAAAGCAAAGAAAAGTGGAAGTAGGATCATAAGCACAGTTGTGATTCACTTACAGACTGCTTCATTTAACAACTGAGTTGTCAGTCCCAGTTATGGTTTCTACATAAGGACCCATTATTTAATTTAAAATAATTTAAATAAATTCTGCAGACAGAGGGACTGGCAAAGAGTACTCACAAATCTCCTTTCTATTTTTCACAGTAACTTTCTTTCCAATTTATAACTATATTTTCTTTCTTGCTTCTCCTTTCCATACCATAAAACACAAAGCAAGCTAATTTCTTTTGTCATTTTCAGATTGATTAAAACTGTAGAAAGTGACAGCTACATTATGAAGAAAAATTGTAAGAAATAGCTGCATTATTTTAATTTAGAACTCCTTTGTATGGCTAAAAATTGCAACAAAATGACAGCAGAGAGATAAGGAAAACCATCTGGATTTTTGCAATTCAAATATAGTTCTTTGTAAATATATTCTGATTTTAAGTATAAAGGTAAAGGTAAAGATAAAGGCTTCCCCTGTCCAATAGTTTCTAACTCTAAAGGGTGGTGCTCATCATGCTTCTTAGCTGAGGGAGCCAACATTGTTTGAAGACATTTTCATGGTCATGTGGCCATCTCAGCATCTATATGCTGAGATGCTACCTTCCCACCAAAGTGACATATATTTAATTTCGCATTTGCATGCCTTTAAATTGCTAGGTGGGCAAGAGCCGTGGCAAGTAATGGGAGTTCACCCTGTCATGCAGTCCTCAGGTCTTTAACAGCTGAGCCATCATGCCTTTTTAAGATTTTAAGAATGCTGGATTTTGCAAGATTGATATTGTCTCTTCTATTTCTTTATTAAATTTATATAATCACTTATCTCACATATATGACTTAAATGGTATACAATCAAAGAATCAAAACAAATTATAACAAGTATGATACAAAATAAAACAATTTAAATACATAAAAAGGACTATAGGAGAATGGATAGCAACCTATACTTGGGATCCCCAAGCCTGTTAAAAGAACCAAATTTTGAGGGTTGTCTTAAATGCATTGGGATCATGGCTAATCTCATCTCAGGAAGAATGATGTTCCAGAAGAAGGGTGCCACAGCAGAAAAAGATTGCTTCCTCGGTATTTTCAGACAGAACACTTTAGCAGATAGGACCCATAACATGCCCTTCCTGTTACATCTAATGAGACAGGTACATGTAATCAGGAAGAAGCAGTCCCTCAAATAACCTGGTCCCACGCCAAGAAAAGATATTAATCTTTTAAAATTATATTAAAGGAATGAGATGTCATTTCAAGAGACAAAGCACACATGTATTGTTATTTTATTTAAACCTGGGTAACAGCTCCCTCAGTTGTCTGAAGGCCACATGTTCACCCTTGAAAATGATATGAGCTATCTTGTGTTATTCTAGGTAATAGGTACACATTTATCTCAATTTTGATGCATTAACCAGAAAAAGGGGGTGTTACTATTATCTTAAACAAAGCTGTTTATTGATAAAATGGGATGAAGGGAGGGCATTAAGCACACTCCAAACTTTATAAATTTCATAGCAACTAGTATAGGAATCTGTTCTTTCAAAGTGCTTATAGCTTTTGTGTGTGTATAGCACTTCTCCCAAAGAGGCCACTGGCAATTAGGCTGTCAAAGTTGAATTGCTAAGTTGCCTGCTAACTTCTATCATTACTCAATTTGCCATAGAAACAGGGGGGAGAGGTAGAGAGCATAGGGACAAAACGGAAATCTAAGAAGCCATCCCCAAACGTGAGAACCTACAAGAATGCCAAGGTCACTGACACAGGTGTCTGACAGAGATATGGACGGTTCTAATAACAAACAAAGCTATAGGATTGGCAAGCGTGAACATCTGGTGGGTGGGGGGTTAAGGAAAGCTATTGGTAACTAGGTAGATTTTTGTGATAAGATCAGAGCTGGTCTTGCTTCTTTGGTTCTGAGATGTGTACTCAATAAAAAATTATCTTTTATGGCACTTCGAAGCCTTGAAGATTCCTTGCTGCTGAGTTCATTAATCAGACAGCTGACATTAGACCAGCTCTGTACACTGTGAATGCAGCCTTCTCAGAGGCTTCCAAGAAGATTGTAGCATAGCAATGTTGGAGGTCGAGAAGAAGATCGATGCTACCACAAAGTCTGGGCAGGTCCTTCCACGGGAGGCACTGGGATCAGTCCTGGTGGACTCTGGGTCTCAGCCAGTGGTAACACGGTCCAAAGTGAGAGCGGAGAAAGCTGAGCAGTCAGCAGTGCAAGAAGAGGAGGTGGTGGCCGGATCCCTCCATACCAGCTCAAAAATCCAATGGATGGTTGGTGTGAGGAAAGTGGCTGAGATGGAGTTTCCCCTCATCCCACTGGGGGTTGCGATAACCCGAAGAAGCAAGTGGAAGGCCAAGAGAGCTGCAGATTGGGAAGAGTCAGCAGAGTATAAATTTCTGGCTGCCTCCTGCAGCCCTTCGGTGGAGCAGCTGCTTGAGAAAATTGTTGAGATGGAGATATGAGGAACGGAGCCATTGAAATCCCCCATCCGAGGAACAGCACTTGGAATGGATCAAGTTGTGGTGACTCCATCCCCTTCTCCACCCCACCCAATGGTGCTAGGTCAGGGGGGCCATGGGATAACAAGGGACTGAGGCATGGCCGTGCAGACCCAGCCAGCCCTGGCGTGGCAGGAGATCCAGCCCATGCTACCCCGTAAGTGGTGGGGGTACTGCCTGGTTACTTGTTAATCTGTGACAACCGTGATCTACTGCTGTTGAAAGCCAGATTTGATGGATGGAGAAACTCACCTATTTCCTGAACCAAGTGTGGATTTACCTGGAGCAGCACACAGCAATGTTCCCAGATGAAGGGACTTGTGTGAACATGCAAATCTGGAAGGAGAAGCTGCTGAATGGATGGTGGCACTCCTAGGCAGGCTCTAGGTCAGATTTGGGGACCCCACTGGGCAGAATCTGAAATTTGCTCCATTAGGCAGGGGAGCCAGTCCATGGCTGAATACATTCGGGAATTCCGCAGCATGGCCAGGAAGCTGAAAGGAAGGCCAGAATGCCTATGGGTCTACCAGTTTCAAGATGGGCTAAGCAGAGAGGTGTACCAGAATTGCCTGCCCAGGGGAATCCTTGATGACCTCTACGCATAGAACCAGCTAGCCACCACAGTGGAACTGGACATGATGGAGTATCGGCGACAGGCGGCACCTGAGAACTGCCCCTGCCAGAGCCAAGAGAAGCACTTGCCAATGCACAGAGGAGGAGGGGCTCCTCCCGATTGCTAGAGAGAGCCCATGCTGCCCTACTGGAGCTTGCTTCTAATGTGGGAAAGAAGGCCACCAAGTGGCCAATTGCCTGCCCCACAATCCATGTCAATGCCCAGGACCCTGAGTCAACCCAAGCGGAAGAAGACAGGCTGGTCTTTTATGAGAGTGACAGCGAGGGGGAAGACAATCCGATGGTAACTCGTGCCATCACCCCATTGACTGCCCAGGTGGAGGTGGTAGTATCCCAGTCAGGAACAAGGAGGGGTTTACTGCCCTTTTAAACTCGGGGTGCACTTGCTACTTGATCAGCCTGCAGATCAGCCTGCAGATCAGCCTGCAGATCAGCCTGCAGATCAGCCTGCAGATCAGCCTGCAGGCTGATCTGCAGGCTGATCTGCAGGCTGATCAAGTAGCAGCCCATTGAAGCAGCCCATTGAAGCAGCCCATGAAATTCAAGCAAGTAGATGGCTCACTTATGGGGGGAGAGGGGTTGCCAGCAACCTGTCTGACTGAGCCATTGAGCCTAAGGGTGGAGAGACCATGAAGAGACTATCCAGTTTATTGTAGCCCCAAAGATGGCAGAGACAATGATACTGGGGTTGTCGTGGGTGAAAAAGTGGAACTTGACAATTGACTGGGGAAGCAACAAGGGGCGAATGAGGAGCAAAGCCAAGAAAGGGGTGGGAGTGAAGAAACCACAGAAAGTTAGGAGATTATGATCGGCTGCGAAAGTGAAAGTTAATGCACTATCGGAGAGCATCCTATCAAAGATATTTAGTGAGCGAGAATCGGATGCGCTCTCTCCTCACCACCCCACAGACTATGCAATTGAGTTGCTACCAGGGGCAAAACTTCCCAAGCCAAAGGTGTATTCTATGACTCCAGGGGAGATGGAGGAACTCCAAGCTTTTGTGGATAAGAACTTAGTTAGAAGTTTTATCCAGCCAAATCCAAAGTGACAGCACCAGTGCTCTTTAAGGAGAAAAAGGATGGATCGTTGAGATATGTGTGTGGATTTAGGGGAATCAATGGAGCTTGCATGGAAAATATGTACCCCCTCCCCCTCATGAAGGACATGCTGGGGCACCTATCCAAGGGGAAGGTGTTTACCAAGCTGGACTTGAGGGAGGAATATTATTGTGTGAGGATCAAGGAGGGGGATGAATGGAAGATAGCTTTTAATTGTCCCTTGGGGTGCTACCAATTCTGAGCGATGCCTTTTGGACTACAAGGAGCAACAGCTGTATTCATGCAGCTAATTAACAAGGTGCTGCATGATCACCTGTACAAAGGGGTACTGGTTTACCTGGATAACATTCTCATTTGAGACAATAGAAGAACAATTGAAGCTAGTGAGGGAAGTGCTATGGAAATTGCTGAAAGCTAAACTTTA